GATACATAATGGAATTTTCGAACTAAGAGCTGAAGAGAAAGTTTTAATCGTCTATTCGAGTGTAGAATATGATAAGTATTTCTAACGGAGTAGCAGAGTGTCATACTCACTTCATGAACGTTTTCCACGCATGTCACAGTAGGCGTTATAGTGATGGTTTATTGGAGATTCACCCGTGATATGAAAAACACTAGTGAAAAATATATTTCACGACTACTGCATAACCCGAATATCAGATTTTCCACAGAGTATTACGCCATTTCACGTAAAACGGGTGAAACACCATTGTAATGTAATTATCGTGTCTTTGTAGGGTATGCATCAAAGCGGCGTCATCTATAGGAGTCGAGCAGGTTACCGCAGACTTCGATGGGCATACTCAGACGCTAGCCGTTAAGGGCAGGTGAGTGTTGGTGATGGTGATGATGATATGTGGTGTTTGAGTTCAATGCTTTCTCTGGCTTCCAGGCATGATCCATGTGTACTTCCTAGAGCCCCGCCACTGATTGAATCCATGGCGGCTATAGTTACGATGGACATGATGTTGCGACAGAGGGCCAGGGGGATGCCGATGCACACGTTGGGGTATGCTGGGGGGGTCTGCGGCAGTAACGCTGGTCGTGATTCAGGACGGTAGGTGAGGAGAATAAATGATGGATATTTGGGATGAGCAGTGTCTAGGAAGTTGTTGTTGGTACTTGTTATGTCCTTTCGTTTTGGCAAGTGGTAGTTGTGTGAAAGTGTGCACAGGGTTGAGGTTTTGTTGGCGATGATATGAAAATTGTGAGAAAATTTAGGAAATTCCCAACCCAAATTCATATGTAATCTCCTATAATTAGTGAGGGAGACAAAAGATATATTCTAGCATTGCAGTGATCATGATGGTTCTGGTAGTAGTTTGTAGGGTTACTTCTCATTATGGCTAACCTCACTGATAAAGGAGTAGCAGGAGCCCATGGTGGCAACCCTCAGTTCCTCATATCACAAATTGTAAGTAGTAGGTCCATGGGTGGTAGTCATTGTTGGAGTAGGTGAGAGATAGAGTGTACTCGTTACGGTATTGGAAAGAAGAGTGTTTCGGTCTCAACGCGGAGACTATACTGGACAAGGCGGCTGAGTTGAAGTAGGGGATGGGTGAATTGGTTGGGAAGATTGGAAGGCATGGTATGTTAGATATGTGGGCACAGTGTATGGTTCACTACAGCGACCGAGCCCGTTCCTGTGTCTGCTGGTGAAGT